CAAAACACAATGTTTTGCAATCGTTTTCACAACTTTCATAGAAACAGTAAGAGTGAATAACGGAATACCTTCTAATTCTACTTAAGTGCCCTTAGTGGTCAATAAATGCCCTCTTTGTGAATCCATTTCAGAGCTAGTAAATATCACGGCCGTCATGTGACAATGAAAAAACAGGTCCTCTCACTATCACGAGACAAACACTGTCACGTTCTGTCATGACAAAAAATTGGATGACATTTTGTAGAAAATCTCTATCATCGTTTTCTCATCCGATGATAGTGACAGAAGTATCTCCGTAATTATCGCGTAAGAACATTAATTGAAAATGACATTTGTCAGCCCTGCTCCATTTAATATGTAGGGGAAATGCAGGTAATGTCGGCCTAAGTGTCCCTAATTTGGGCCCATACATAAATTCAGCAATCGGCTAAATTTTCAATAGCAACCAAAAATATCCATTAGTAGTAACGTCCCAATAACGCGTTCATCTAGATAAAATTGATAAATAGCAGATTTTTAGCGATGGGTCCAATCTTAGATCCATAGGCCAACATTAGAGACATTTTCCCTATGTATATTTAAACTTCAAAATTGGCTTCAGCATTTTATAATAATGTATACATAAATCGGTATGAACAAATTTATACAGTCAAAATTTAAGAAGGTTCGACTTATTGCAGTGGTTTGACAAACTTTACTCTCAGAGTACTAAGGGTGAAAACTGCGTGTCGATGCTGCGACACAGCACGACTCTCCTGTTGCCGATAAGCGAGCTTGCGTGTCGATATTGTAACACGCAGTGTGTAGCCTTGGTACTCTGAGCGTTAATAGACAAGTGTTGTTTATAAAATCTTAAAAAATATCTGATTTCAAAATCATGTTGTGATCATAATTGCAGGGCTGTTACAACAGGTGGGATTTTGCAATTTTTGCAGATTTGAACTTTCAGTCGCGAAAATTGCGGAAACATTAAATTATGTCGCGAAAATTGAGAAGAGATAGGAACTTTCGTTCCCAATGTGAATTGTTTAGGGTAATTTTTAGGAAAAAATAATCACGATTTTCTTCGATTCTTTGTCTACAGAGCACTGTTTTTGGACGTATCCAGTCAAACAGTTAAAGTTTTGAATCTTCCAGATTCATCCAATTTTCCATTATTAATAGCAAAATAAGTTGAAGAATTATAACCAGAACAGAATTATTAAGATGCTTACAGTTTAAACTTTTATATTGGAATTGAAATCTGAAAATGCAGTAGGGGAAATGTTGGATTCGGCAATACCTTAACCGATTATCGTCAGGGGGATAAACAACGTCCTTGAGAGCTCAATTTTGGCATGTGGATACATTGTGTTTCAGAGCATCTATTGGCCAAATTTGAGTGCTCTAGGACTTTGTTTACGCCTCTGATGATAATAGGTTAAGGTATTGCCAAAGTCAACATTTCCCCATTTAATTGAAATGAAATATTGCAATTGAAATCCGCAAAATGCGTGGCGATGCTACGATCAAGTTCGCTTCACGGCAACTGGACAAGCTTGCTGTGACACAGCATCGACACGCATGTTAACATTACTTTATGTCGTAGTTAAAAAAAAACTGATGTTGAAAACATGTAACAAATCAGTAAGTTTCAGAATAATAGAACCATGATTAATTTCATGTTCGCAACCTTAAAGTTCGAAGTTCGGTATTTCAAATATTTCTGCTAGTTTTGAATTATGAAAACTTCTCACGTACCCTTCTCCCTAATCCCCTCCTCCATGTTTGGAATATTTAATGTTAGATAAAATACCATGAAGATTCCTTGTCTATGATAACGACCGCGTTGCCCTTGTCTGCTTTTACATAGTATACAGCTTTACTCTTCAGCTCCTTTACAATCCGAATTTCCTTCTCGTTGGCCCGACTTTTTCTTGTCCATCATTGATTACGTTCGATGTGATAGTCCTGATGATCTGCTCCGCGTCTGGCTTGGTTGTAACCGCGTATCCTAGCCCCTTGTTGAGGTGTGTCAATTATTCTAGGAGTAAAAATTACCAAGAGAGACGGAGGACACACCGAACGGGTGAGCAGATCCCATCCAGCATCACCACGACGCCGAGGGTTTATTCCATTGATGGGTTGGTTGTAAACCTATCGACGACCGCATTCACGGAAGAACAATTGACACACCTCAACAAGAGGCTAAAATACGCGGTCATTGACGTAGAGACAGTGATTACCAAGACACTTCCAACGTCATCACAGAATACGGTCAAGACTATCACATCGAACATAATCAAGGACGGACAAGAACAAAGTCGCGCCAACGAGAAGGAAATTTGGATTGTAAAGGAGCTGAAGAGTAAAGCAGTATACTATGTAAAAGCAGACAAGGGCAACGCGGTCGTTATCATGGACAAGGACGATTACGACAATCAAGTGACAACGAAGATTAACAACGGACCTATAGACAGCTTCGAGTAGAACCCTTACAGAACATGGTAAGGCGCTTGGAGAAAGCACTGAAGGAGTGCAAATCAATATTAGGAGATGGAGCAGGTCGTTTACGGTAATAAATCCCATTCTACCCATGATCAAAGGTCTCCCCAAAGTCCACAAACCGGGAAATGAAATGCGAGAGATCGTGTCTGCAGTTGGTTCCCCCACTCACAAACTAGCGAAGTGACTAGTCACAGAGTTCCAGAATATGCCGAATCAGTTCCAGAGTAAAGCAGTCAGTAACACCAAGGACTTCGCCCAGCAACTACAATCTTCAGGAGACATCAACAAGGACGAGATTATGGTATCTTTCGACGTCACAGCTCTTTTTCCCAGCGTACCGGTAAAGGAAGCGATCAACCATTTGGAGGACTGGCTATTTACACAACGTGAGGATGCAGCATGGAGAAACAAGGTTCGGACGTACCTTAAGCTGACCCGCCTTTGTATGGAAGAGAACTACTTCTCTTTCCGAGGTAACCTCTACAAGCAGACGAAAGGAGCCCCAATGGGAAACCCCCTATCCCCCTTCCTGTGTGAAATTTTCATGGTCAACTTGGAGACAATTCTGAAGGAGAAAGGACTATTACCAAACCGTTGGTGGAGGTTTGTTGTCGATATCTTCAGCGTAGTTGAAAGGGATGCCCTTCCACAAATTTTAGATGAAATCAACAGAATTCACAAGGATATCAAATTCACTCACGAGGTAGAAAAAGACGGGAAACTCGCATTTCTCGACATTCTAGTCATCAGGGAATCGTCATCATCATCTTCGCTTGAATACGAAATTTACAGAAAACCAACAAGCACCAAAAGAGTTATCCCCTATACTTCCAACCATTCGTTTCAACAGAAAATGGCCGCCTTCCACCACATGATTCATCGGATGAAGACTCTTCCACTCAGCGATACAGGAAAGGTTAAGGGATTACAGTACATCTTCGAAACAGTGAGACTCAACGGATACAAGGAGTTCACAATCCAGGCAATCATTGATAAAAAAGCGAGAATTCTACAAAGGAGATTATTTACAATCTTCACCGCAGCACCTGAACCCTTGAAACGAGTGTCCGTTCCATTTGATCAAGATAATACTTGTAAGCTAAGACCACAGTTAAAACAATTCGGATTAGATTTAGTTTTCACCAGTAGACATAACCAGTTGAAATCATTGTTAGACCTAAGTTAATGTTTTAGGTAAAGCAGGTGTATATAAAATAAGCTGTAATCATTGTAACAAAGTATACGTAGGACAAACCAAGAGAACTTTAGCAACTAGATTTAAAGAACATATAGCGGAGGTGGATAAGGCCAAAAAGCAAGAGGAAAAAGGCCTAACATATGATTTCAAATCAAAGGTTGCAGAGCACATCTTCACATAGGACCACCAACTATCGACGGAGGACATCACGATTTTATGAACCGTATCTACATCATGGAAACTGGATGTTGCAGAGAGCCTCGAGATCAACAAACAACGAAATTCAACTTTACTCAACAGGGGTCCAGGAAACGGACACACATGGCTTTTCAAGTTACTACCTAGGACACATAAACAAGTAAGCAGCGGAGTACCTGCTCCTACAGGAAATTAAATTTAAAAAAAATACGATGTTTTGCTTCAGTCGAGTAGTTTAGTACAAGACACTGAAGAAGTCTGCACATTGTAGACGAAATACGCGTATCTGTCAAGGATAAGCAAATAAGGTAGTGGAATTAAATGGTAACTACTAATCCTCTCTCTCTCTCTCTCTCTCTTTATACAGGTATTCCACTAAGACGCCCACATTCATCAGGATAAAACTAAAGATGTACGAGGTTTATAGATCTCTAAATGTCATTTTTTAAACCTTTATTTACGAGATAGGCAGTTCCTCGGGCCTCTGTAAATTGTAGGCATTACTTGCATAGCTTTATGTGAAAAGGAAGCAAAAAAAATCACTTACAATCACTATCACTAATCACTAATCACAAATCACTTACAAATCACTATCATACAACAAAATCAAATCTTGTCTAAAAACATGATTAGTAAACCCGGAAAATTCTTGAAACAATGACCGGGAAAAACCTGAAATTTTAAAATTGAAATTCACTTGCCACCCTCATGGCAAAAATAATTCAAAACAGATTTTTTCATTTGTTATTTCTGGACAGTGCTGCAAAATCTCATTCATTCACGGCAATATTTACAAAATAACTTTCGTCACTATCGCGAACTGAAAATAAAAATATTCCGACTACGATTTTCGTCAGAAATTATGGTCAAAACAATTTTTGTTTTTCGATTTCTCTTAATTTGAAATAGGTCTGGGTTTTGGGTTTGAATCAAGGCCAATCTGAAAATACTGAGTTAAGGCACCGGCAAAACATTGTTTTGCGTATCTCAAAAACATATTAACTATAATTTACCAAAATTGTAATGTTTAAAGGTTAAGAATTGTTATGCTGATGGTCTAGTTAAAAAAATGTTGATGAATCAGTAGTTAAATAAGATTGAATCAATTTTCTCTTACCTGGTGATTATGCCATCGAAGGCAAAACTGCTGAGGACTGCTACCACCCCCATTGACCGTTCCACCGCCGTGCGTTTGCGTGTCCATGCTGCTTGAATTACTGCGATCGGTTTCAGGTCAGGCTGAAATAGATACGTCGATTGCAGCGCGCGTGAAAACACAGAAGAAGAAATAAACACAATCACACACTGATTAATTTGCGCCGATCATGATCCTTGGTCCTTGATCTATAGACTATAGCAAAAACACAGAGAGGGCTATCCTGTCTCCACCACCGTCACCACTGTTTTCCTACACCCTGCATGCACACCCACACGCACATCCCTAGTCACTTCACCAGAATATGTATGGCGAAATTCACTCACCGATTTATTCGTCATGCATTCCGTTTTTTCTTTTCTTTTTTTTTCTTCTTCCAAGGAAAAGCAAACACCCAAAAAGAGAGATATAGCGCGAAAAGCAATAAAATCGGTCGACCACTTGTTACACACCCATCATCATTAGGCGATCGTTCGGAGATGCTATATGTACCTATTGGCTGCTGCCAGCCCTCTCGCTCTCTGCCACTGCACTGACGACGAGGAACGCGATGGATTTGGATTTGATCGAGTGGTTTTTTCTCCGCAGTCGCCAATCCATCAGCAGCGGACGACGACGGATTGGATTTGAGGAAAAATAAAAATAACGCATAGTCTCGTTGGTAGTCTCTCTCGGGCCAGCCAACAAAAGGGACAGAGCCAGGCCGAGATCGTGAATAAAAGAGTGTGATGTGAAAATTCTCCACACGAACGGAAAATTGCCATTTGTCACACGTACTGAACTGAACCACCAGCCGACCAGCCAGCAGCTAAGATAGTCAGCCAGGAAAAGTGTGCGGCAACACGATCAGGGCATTACACGACGAGAACCACGACTATCGCAAAACAATACGGTCGAATCTTGGATCTCGCCAGTGGTGTCAATAGGATTTTCGCAAGTAGGGAATTTATGTTTCTTGAAGCTAGTTCAATGTTAATTTTACTGTGAAGGAAACACCTTAATTTTCCCTGCGGAGCCGTTTTTCTCATCACACTTCGCAATTTCTGGAACACAAATCTCAAGACTTACGAAGATGGTGATAAATCCGTAAATTTTCAGTTACGTAGATTCACAAAAACATTCATGTTCAATTCTTTCAAGATCACCAGAATGAAAATGGAAACTTGATATCGCTTCAACCGCCCACCTCTGGCTACACCGCTGGGGTGGCATTTTTTGGCTGATAGCTAGGGAGAAATTTAGAAAGTGCGCTTCACTGGTGGAAAAATAGAGACACCGAATCGTGTGTTCTTCTAAGCATCAGTGCAGTGCAGAGAGTAGTAGGTACATTCAGCATATAGCATACCTACTTACTTATAGTGAAGGAGGAAAAACAACAACTAGCAATAATAGAAAAAAGAAAGACTAGAGAAAGTCATACCGATCCAAGAAACGAAAACAAGGCAGAATTATATTTTATACGCATTGTAGGTATTGCTTGCAGGCGGAGATCGGGCTAAAATTAGACAATTTAATTATATTGCTTGAGGCCACTTTGCGCCATCTAATAAGGATGCGCGGTACCGACAGCATTATTGTGGTCAATTGGTACCCGTTGGTTGCAAGAAAGCAGATTCCTCAGACTAAACTCAAGAGAAACTATTCGAGGTGAGAATGAAGCCACCAGCGAGTGAAATATGCCGGAAAATTATGAAAGTGCTAACGATCATTCGTGGGGCTAACGATGCGAGAAAATTTTTATTCACACGTTCTTTTGTTTTATGAAAGAGGTCTGCTAATCGGGGGCTGCCCGTCGGCGGTTTGTGTGTGATAAATTGAGACTGATTGGAGGAGTGTGTCATGCTACAGGTAGATCGGTCCCTGGGGAAAATTGAAAATCATGAATACTGTTGCTTTCCGCAACAGGTGATGTGGGATTCTGTACAATTTCGACATTTTTTAATCAAGCTCCTCCATTCATTTGTTGTTTTCAGTCGTCTTCCCCAATTATAAAGCATAACTATTTCCAGCAATTCTTCCGGGAAATCGTCATTTATTATTCAATAGTTCATCAAAACTTAAAAGACCCCTGATAAAGTAGAAGGTTTGTGTTATACATAATTGCCAATCGCCAATCGGATTGGACTCATTAAAGACAAAATACATTGGAGGAAGAGGTGCAAGAGATGATAATATTAGCGTCCCACCGCGAGTTCGGATTGACCGTGATGAAAACGAGGTGGTAGACGAGTTCGCGTACCTTAGCTCACTTGTGACCGCCGCATTAGAGAAATCGAAAGACGCATTATGGCAGGGAATCGTGCTTACTTTGGACTCCGAAGGACGCTCCGGTTGAATAAAGTTCGCCACACCAAGAAGTTGACTATCTACAAAACACTCAACGCCCTTGGTGTTTTTGAACGGATGATGTTGCGTACCATCTGCGATTGAAACTGACGTGTTTTGAATTTGCTGCTGCTTTATTTTCCGAGATGTTTATTGAAAATGTAGTGCAAAAAGTGTAAAACTCCGCTAGCTGGTGCATTTTGGACATCCGGAAACTTTTTCAATAATATCGCGTGTATTTGTTAGTGCTGTGTTTGGTTATTAAAAAAAAGAAGGGTCTGTGCCTAGGGGCACTAACGGAAGCTTGACGTAGGACCGCTAATGGACGGAACAAATGTGACGAGCATTTTGTTCTTTTCATATAAACTCTTCCGTTTTTGATTTGTAAGCGTATCAAATTTGTAGTATTTTTTTTTTCAAAGAGAAAGTTGATGAAGAGAATCATTAAAAATCACTTGCACCCCTGCTTCCAGGTTTGGTTACAAGATTACAACTCTGGAGAGCAGTTTGGGTGGTCGTTGAGGGCCTGTGGTTCTGAATATGGACAAACAGGCACAGATAAATTCTATTCCAACTCTTTACTGTTATAAGCTTGATGGCCCTGAAAAGGGCCGTTTTATTGTAGACGACATCATGGCCGCTTACGCTTGGCGTGTTTAGTGTAGGTGACAGCATCACGGATCTCATTTTCCAGGAACACCTTCAGCACACCTCGTAGATAAGATCGCAGATACGTTTGACACCACCACGGCGAGCCAGACGACGGATGGCGGTTATCTCGAAGAACTTTGCGATGACGCTTGGTGCCTCTTTGAACAAGACCTTATCCTTCTTTGCCGCGACCAGTCTATTGTTGCTTGTTGAATGTAGAAGGATTGACTAGCCACCCCCTTTCTACTGCTGCTGAAGCGAAAATGAGTTGATGCTAGACAGAAGCGCTTTTTTATAAATCAGAATGATGTGCAATAGAGTGATGCAAAATTTGAAATTTTCGCTCCACAATACTTAAACGATTCCAAATCGGATCCTGACTAACCTCTCAAAATTTGAACCCATTTGGTGAGAAACTGAGATGGCACAAATCATTTAAAGTTTGTATGGGAATTAGTATGGTAAAACCAAGATTTCTGTTCATGTCTATCTAATAATTCACCATATCGATCTGCTCTGCGATCTGCGATTCAAAAGTTTTCAACTATACTTGTAGGAAATTTTCCCAGCTACAACTTTGCTGAAGACCACTTTTTGATTAAATGCAAGGATCGAAAGTAATCAATGGTTCAATGCGCTGATGTCTTATGATAATGCTCAATCAACTGCTCAGCAGGCAACATTGGTGTTTCTGGGGCATTCAATAGGACACAAAAATCACGGCTACTATGTCTCACTGCAAAATACAGTGTTGCCTACAGAGCAGCTGCTTAATCATGTCATAAGTTTACCAATCTCTTAAATAATTAATAACTTTTTACAGCCTCGTTTTACATAGAAACGATCTTCAGCAAAGTTGTAGCTGAGAAAATTTTCTATAAGAATGGCTATCAAACTGTTTCGCAGCTCAATATGGAAAAAGACTAGAAGGCAATGAACAAAAAGTCGAGATTTCCCATATTAATTTACATGTAAACTTCAAATGGCTTGTGCGAAGTCTGTTTCTAACCAAATGAGTTGTAACTTTGGGAGGCTAATCAGGACCCAATTTGAAACCATTTAAGCACTGTGGAGTCAAATTTTGCATCAGTCTAATGTGCAACCAAGTGGTATAAAAGCTACAAAGACTCCTTCCATTATGAGCAGTTTGCTATCAAGAAGCGACACAGGCTCCTTTCCTTTTGCGTAGTTTGCCAATGGCAACACCATGAAAGTTAGCGGTGGTGTAGTGGTAAGCGTGATTACCTCTTACCCTAGCAGGCCTGGGTTCAATCTTAGTCAGCTCCACCGGCATGTTCTATAAGGCATAACATCTCTGATCACGCCTTCCTTCGGGAAGTAAAGCCGTTGGTCCCCGGTTGAGTTGATGGGTCGATAAGTAGGTTCCAGGTGTGGGAGCCACCAATTTCATTTAAAAAAAGAGTTGGAGCAGAATTTTTAAAGAACTACAAAAATAGTTTTCACCATTAAGTCAAGGCTATTTTTTCTCATTGATGGCGCTGTTCCATTGCACAGTGGTCCAGAATGCAGATTTAGGTGGAATGATATGGTTTGAGCCTGAAACTGAAACTTTAGACTAAAAGTCTCTTCTACAAAGTTATTCCTTATAGTTAGGCCCTCATTTTTATGACAATGAATTCTAGGGTGGTTCCTATTATCATTAAAATCAATTATCTAACTTTTTTGTTTGAATAAATTAAGGTATACATTCTTTGACAAAGTTATAGCTGAGCAAATTTCAAGCAACTTTGTAGAAAATAACTTTTTTGTATCTCTTAAATTGGCCGATTTAGAGCTATTTTCTTGAATTGAGTTAGGGTGGCTCTTGAAAAAACAGTTTTTTTGTTCTAGTTTTCTTATTTCAAATTTCTCAGCAAAGGTGTTTTGAGATAACTTTTAGATCTTAAGAAGGCGCAAGTTTTTGCCACACAAAGCTTGTCAATATCTTTCGCCGATAAAGAGTTATTGACGTTTTTATACTAAAAATATGCACTTTTCAAATGTTAATATCTCTGGTTGGGGCAAACAAAAAAAAAAAAGTTTTTTTACGGCATTTGAAAGAGCGTATGTAATTCTCAATATTTTGACAAAATTGGAGGTATGTTAT